GACTGTGGCTCATGTCGATTATCCAAAGCTAGAACAAAATCTAAAAATGTCTTGTAATCCATTTCCCCATCGAAAGTGCGGCACTCATCGAATACGCGATCAAGGAAGACCGACGTCAATGTGCCCGAACCATAACCGGCCAATTCTTGTTTGCTCAGCATGCCATTATGATCTTTATCCAAATTTAAGTAGTTACCATACACAGTAAGCACCGAAGGCATTGAGAACCAATTGAGCTCTTGCGACTCTTTAGGCGCCTCCTCATCGCGCAATTCGAGCAATTCGGTCAGCAGGCCTGAAGCCAGTATGTCACGTATGCGTATGCGTCCCGTATGCAGCGGATCAAGAAAAAAGAAAAACTTTTTCACGACTGTACAAACATAGAAACTTTGGAAGGAAGGCTGTACGCAACTGCTAATCTGCGCCAGCGTTGGTATGATGTCAATGATGTAATTTTCCATATCGATTTCGCGCAGGTACCCTTGACCTATTTCATCGTAAAACGATAAACCGATGCGCCCTTGCGTCAGCCACACTTTACGCATTGTATAATTGAAGATGGAAGCGATTTCTACTTTGCCTGCAAACGTCCAATTTAATTTAAATTTATGCACAAACCAACTTAGTTGTCTTGGCACTCACCTGGATACATGGAATGGCACAACAATTTGGCATACAGACGCGCCGTCAGATATTTGCGACATTTTACACTCACCGCTTCCAGCAGCTTTAGGTAATCATCGTAGTCGATAAGTTGTTGCCCCAACGGCGTTACCTGTGTGCAATGCTTCTCCAATAGCGTCCACAAGGCGCTTAGCTCATCGTTGTCTAGCAATTCTTGAGAACGCTTCTGCAGGAATAGTGAGTGCGCCTCTTTGCGCAGATTTTGCCGTAGGGTATTGTTTGGTGGTGGGGGCGCATGAAAAAATTTCGGTATTGTTGAATAAGTGTGATGTTGCAATTGTGCAGTTGGCTTGAGTGGCGCATCCGCATCAAAGCTGCGCAACTCTTCTTCACTTGGTTTCTGCGTAGACACATCAAGATTTTCAAATTCTTTTACAATATCCGGATCGAGTTCCATTCTTTAAATGAAAAAAATTTGAGACAAACTTGTATGTAAAAACCACTTTTATCAATGAATAAAAGTAAATAAATATTGCAGTGAACAGCTGATTACGTCAACTATCAGTAATAAAGGGTGATACACATTGTCGATCAAGTTTGGCAGTCAAGAATTTATGTGTTTTGACTGACGTCTAAGGGCCGGTTACTCAGTGCCTGGTTAACAGTAATCTGCGGTTAAACATCGTTGTTGTTGTTGTTGTTGGTGTAGCGGCTACTAAGCCCTGTTCGGGGCGGTTCATCCATCAGCGTTGTCGTCTATTTCAGCTAGGGGGAGGCCCAGGAAGTGTGCTACTTCCAGAGGGGCTGTCCATAGGGACAGGGGCGTTAGCTGAGTGGGATTCTCAAGGCATGTGAAGAGGTGCCGGGAGTCATGTGGCGACTCTGCACATGCCGGGCATTGGTTGGGCACGTCCTCGTTGATTCTGCTCAGGTAGCTGTTGAGCCTGCTGCAATAGCCAGAGCGCAGTTGGGCTATTGTAGTGCGGTTCTCCCAAGGCAGACAAAGTTCTGTCCCGTCCACGTCCGGTGGTTGTGTGCCTAGAACGGCAGGGCGGGAGTCTACATAACTTGAAAATAATTCCATGTGAATGCCGTTCAGAGCCTGTCGGTAGGTTGACGGGTCCAGAGGTTGTTTAATATACCTCTGGACTTCGTCTGTCAGTTCGTAAAGATGCCTCCTGACGTGCCGTGGCGAGGGCTCTTCCGCGAGCAGTTGCCCGCTGGGATGGCCACGTCTGTGGCTCCCAGCGAGGAACTGCTTGCAGAGCATTATGTTATGCTCCTTTACTGGGAGCATCTGGGCCTCGTCGTGAAGGTGGTGTTGAGGCGTCATCAGGAGGCATCCTGTCGCAGTTCATAATGCCGTGTTTTGGCAGGTCTGCAGCTTCATCCACTGCGTCCTACTAGTCCCCGGCGACCATACGGGCGCTGCTTAGTTCAGAACCGGCCGGCCAATTGTCTTGTATGTTGCCAACAACGTTTCTTTATCTTTGCCCCAAGTGCTGCCGGCCAGCGACTTGAGGACATTGTTGCGGCTCTGTACTTTGTTGACAATTGCGGTTGTATGCGCCGAGAAGGAGAGCAGACTGTCGAAGGTTACTCCGAGGATTTTCGGGCTATTCACCGTCGGTATTGTTACGTCATCGACGTGAATACCCAGTGGCAGTCTGACCTCCTTCGTCCAGGTGGTGAAAAGGGTTGCCGAGGATTTCGCAGGGGATAGGGCAAGGCTCCTTGCAGTGAAGAAGCATCGTTGTCGACGTCTTCGACTCCATGCATACAACAGGAAGTCGGTAACGTCGATAATGATGTATAACCTGTAGTTAGCGTTAACCAGACTTTGAGTAACCGGCCCTTAATATATGAGATTAAACCATCACTCAAGCTACGAAATTCATCAAGGAAATATGGAGGAAAAACATGGGGGTGCCTTATTTATTATCGCATTAGCTATGATATATGATTTTATCTCATTTGAGTTATATATTTTATTTTTTCGTCACGCAACGCATACTCTGGACTACTTATGTCCCAGAGACAACGTTGCATCTCATAGCAATCTAAAAACTCTTTCAAAAAGTTGTGATTTACGCCCATTTTTAACATTGCACTGATAATATTCGAAAATATCTTCCTACTTATACTGCTGTAAGTACTTACATACCGTTACTTAACACATGTGTGTACGCTGTGAATATTTGGCTTGACTGACACTTGGTACACACTAGGGATGGGTAAATTCGATATTCGAAGCTTCGATATTCGAATTTTAATCGAATTTTAGCTCCAAAATGGCGAATTTTCGAAATCGAACATTATGTTGCTAAAATTCGGATAAAATCGAATTTTTCTAGAAGAAAATCGAATTTCATCTTTATTTCCAAAAAAATCAACTCTTCAACTTTATTCTTTCTGACTAAATTTGTCATCACTGTGTGTGGCACTCCATTTGTCTTAGGGATGCAAGTAAAAAAGAATACATGTTTTTCGGACTGATGCATCGGGACAAAAAATATGTGCCTAAAAGGAACTGTTATTCCAAACTCAAATTTAAATTTTTTTTTGTACAAAATTAGTTTTTTTGTTGATTTTTTATTTTAAATGTGTAGAGGCTTTCCAGGAGAATAATTTTCTAGAATATATCAATCCTCTAACGACCTTCCAAATTTGCTTTTGGCGGGATTTCTTGAAGTAAGGGTCAAAATAAGCCTTTTAGGCGCGAGCTAATGGGTTAAAATGTCCTACGAAAATATTTCTCATGAAATTTTATTATATATGTCTTAAACTTTGATTTCGCTCAGACATTTATTTTAACTATTTTTTCGACTTTAGTAAGCCATGAAATAAAACTACGAGCTAACTTTTGCAAATCCGCCGAGTGTTTTATTCCTGGCTGGGTATATTTTCAGAGAATGTTAACAAAGTCCGGGCTGGTTTCGGCTGAGCCATAGTGTAGTTTGAGTTAAACTTTTTAGACAGGTGGCCACTCTCTTCAAGCACCTCAAAAATATTTTAATTGTTGCATAGTATTTTAAGCACAAGAGTTTTTAAAAATGTAATTAAAAAATAAAGTTTATTCAAAACCATTTCGATTGATACCCATATTGGGGTATTTTATTTAACTTACTAAATAATTTATTTTTGATTTTCTTAGATACATATGGCACAAAACTAAAACCATATTACACATGTACAGGGCAAGCCCTTTCATTTGACACCTACCTCCTTGTTGAAAATCGAACGAACGATAAGATTTTATGACTTGGTGTTAAATATTTAACGTAAACATCTGCGGAAGCGATTATTTGAATTTGACACTTCATTTTTTTTAATTGAACGAACGATACAGATTTTATGACTTGGTGTTAAATATTTAACGCAAACCTCTCCGAACTCGATTCAGAAGTTGAAATAAAATTTTTTTGGAAAATTCGAAAAAATTCGAGTTAAATCGAATTTGCACCACCAAATTTCGAATCGAATAATCGAATGGTTGGGCAATATTCGAAATTCGGAAAAATCGAATTTCAACCCCCCACTACCCATCCCTAGTACACACTATCAGAAAAACCTTAACGTGGCCTCTGACTGAAAGTCAATCACAAAAATGTTTGCGGCTGACTGTTGAATGAGGAGCGGTCCCACGGCCAAACAGGGGAAATTCGAGAAAACTGTCGATTTTGATCGCCAATGTGGAGCACACATAAGCCTCGCTGCTGCTGTCGAAGTTGAGTACGCAAGTGATCGCGCAAGGCGTATACGCCTTGTGATCGCGGTGGCAACGTGCATGGTTTGAAGCTTTGCTAACAGGGTGTTTGAAATAAAAAATTTACTAATCTCTTCATTGTATAATATAAAAAATTTTAATTTTTAATTAAATTTTCTTATTAAATTAGTTCTCGGCATCATTTATTAAATTGAAAATTAATGGTTTATCATATTACGTTTAAGTTATAGTGTTGTCACATTCCTACTTAATTTTGTGCATCACAGGCACCTTTTTACCCTCATGCCTTTTTACTTACCATCGCACTTCCTTTCGTATGTCATAATTGAATTAGAGTTTAACAAGTTTAATATGAAAATTAAATTATTACTACATATTGTCATTAAAGTTTACGTGATCTAAGTTTAAACTTGCACTGAAAACTGGACCTAAATAAGTTAAACTACTCAATAGGTATATGGCGTGTTCCTCAACCTGGAAAATTTCATCTAAATTTGAAGGCCAACTACCTTGTATACACGGCGAATAATTAACTTCCTTATAGTTTGAAATCGATTAAAAAAGTACCTACTTAAATATTTGAAATTCACGTACATAATTTTATTAAAACTCAGCGACTAATGACATACAATTTTCCTTTTACTTACAGGTTCTAACATAAAAGTTGCGTCGGCAATACTGAACTGTATTTTAGCGCGACAGCTATGTTTCGAAGATCCCTCGTGTTCGGCTATTTTAGAAATAATACCCAGAGTATGTGGGCCTATACCAGGTATGTGGAAAGTAAATTTAAGAACTTGAAAATATAATAAATTTTTCTAATAAATAGGTATTCAATTTAGTAGGATGAATATGCTGACGACGAGATTCTCTTTAATATACTCTGTATGGATAAGATAGAATTTTAATAGGGTTGCCACCTATCTAAAAAACTACAAGATCCGCACTGTTCGGTGGATTACAAAAAATGAGGGGTCAAATGAAAGGGATTGGCCTCGAAAATTACTAGATACATTCAATCCTAGCCGTCAGTTCTACACCGCCACTGTCAAATGGAAATACTTAGGGCCAGTTTTTCAGTGCGCAACCATGGTTTAAACTAAGTTTAAACTCCCGATTTGGGTGGTTTAAACTAAGATCAGCCAATCAAACGTCAGCCAGCTGTTCAATTTAAACTCAGTTTACTTAATCTAAGTTTAAACTGGCACTGAAAAACTGGCCCTTAGTCTCTAGATATGAAGTAATGCATTATTTTTCTGAGTAGGGTTGCCACCTGTTTAAAAACTGTAAAATCTTCACCGTTTGTTGGATGAAAAATTGGGATCCCAAATGAAAGTGCAGGGTATAAACAAAAACTTTTGAGTAGGGTTGCCACCTATTCCGATGTTGCGTTCCCCAACTTTAACTTAATAATAAATGGAGTTAAAATTTTGTATCAGGTGGCAATGCTTTTTGAAAAAAATAGGAATTTATTGCACATTCACAGGCCAAGCCGTTTAAGCGTAATTTTTAGTGATGTGCTGAGTCGATACTTTTAAGTATTGATCGATACTCGGTACCGATTTCAAAAGTATCCAATACTTTCGATACCCGGTACCGAAATATTTAAGTTTCTAAAAAGGCGCACATAGGCCAAAAATATGGAAATGAAAAATGTATATGTATTTGTACATACGTATGTATGTCTGTTCGTCGCCATAATGCAGAGGAACTGTTACTTGACTGAAAAATTGTTGTTCTACATGAATCGGACGATATTATCTTTTTAGGCCCGAAAGGTTTCTTTATCTCTCAAGGTATTGTTCTCGAACCTTGGATCTACTAAAGTGAAAACTGATAAAATAATATTATGCTATTGCGACAAGTTCAATTTCTTTTTAGCCGATATCATATAAAATGGTATTAAAATATATTTTTTATAAACTTTAAATATATAAAGCGGCGACGGTTTAATGTAAGGAATCGGTATTGGGTACCGAAGAGGGAGTATTGGGTATGGCGAAAAAGTTTTCGCTATTATTCATTCATATGTACATACATACATATGTACATAAATTACTAAAAGAGAAACCGATTTACATTAACATTATATTTTATGTTTATTAAAAATTTTCGGCGAAAATACTACAAATGAAGACTACCGAGCACTTGAAAGTTAAGGAGAAGGTAGAAGGGTATCCTCCACGATAATAATGAAAACTCCTCTATAAAAGAGTCCATCATTTTTGAAATGTTGATATTTTTTAATTAAAAAAATTCGGCAATTTTCATCTCTGTTTTAACTGCATGTACAAATGAAACTATACTTTGTTAATTTTTTCTGTAGAAAATAAAATTATTTTGCTAAGTTCATAAATTTTTTGGGGGTGGAGCAGCATATATTTAATATAGGGCCCGAATTTTCTCTTGGCCGACTTGTCTATAGATCACCCAGCATTACCGTTCTGGTGTATAGCGCAGAAGCGATGTAGACATTGTTCAAACTATCCTGCCCTGAAAGTACATATTAACGCTAGGATGAGCCCTACTGGGCCCGGTGAGGCCCATTAATCATGACCGGCAGTCCAACTGGAAAGCTGCTGGGTGGTTTTCTAAGAGGATGAGAGGTTGGGATACCTTAAAAAAGGTTTTTGTATGGCACAGGTTAACTATTAACTTTCGATTTCTTTAATGGTTGGATATAAATTAATAGAAATTAATAATGCGGTAAAAATTGTTGATTTTTATTGTGTTGAATTTGCGATTCATCATCCGATGGGAAATTGAAGATAAATTTGCCTGATAAAATTAAATTTCTTACATTAATTTCCTCAACAAGCACGGTCGTTGTACGTTCAAATCAAAAGTATCTACATGAATTTATAAAACTAGTGCTGTTGCAAATATGTACTTCGAAGGCAATTGAACTCGTCTATGACGATTGGCGTCTTTTGCAGTTCAAGCTAGTTTTAAACTAGTCTAAATGGTCACAATATGAACTTCATGTACAATTGTACCAGTTTAAGCCCGGTCACGTAGTAATTATTAAAACTCAAAATTAACGTAAGACTGTCTCAATTTACACAGCAGGGTTCTTTTCTGCACCCTTCCGTACATACTAGGGATGCCAATACCGGGACCCCGAAATTTCGGTGTTTTTGAGGTCGTCAAAATGCCGGGATTTGCTTGCGTTAATCCCGTGATCTCGAATAATTTTAAATATGGAATTGATAGTGAGAACTTGTTTATGAATTTGAAGTGTAATTTTTGTAAAATGCCGTTTTGACTACAATTAACAAAAATCTTGAAACTGTACTTTTAAAACTGCAGCCTGAGCCTATTTTGAAGAAGATTTAAATGAATGTACTCATAGCGTTGTTAATGTAAACGAAACAGAAAGTTTTGAGGAAAAAGTTATATATAATTTTTTAAATCCTCAAATCAAAAAACTTATAATTTATCCGACGTGCTGGTAAAAGAAGTTCAAATATTTTGTAATGGAGGAGATAGGGGTCATTATCTTCAAATGGCTTAATGACAGTACAGCCTAAAATTGTTGAGGCCGAAAAATGTTTTTCAACAAAAAGTTTTGTATGTAAAAGTTCAGGTCAAGATTAGAAGACTCCGTTTTCAGTACTTTGCTGCTCTTACGTACACATACACGTACATTACACGTACAGTTGATCGTAAATTTTAAATAGTTTTATTTCAAGGCATGCTTTATATGCTTTCAGTTATTGATTATTTTCTGATATTCAAGTTATGTCTCAATAAAAAAATATCCTGAAATCCCGGCATCACAATTTTCCGCAAATTTCGGTATATCTATTACATATATATGTATGTATGTATTTATGTACGTATATACTACAGCACGAGGATAGACAAACAGTCAGATTTACTTACGGCCCCTGAATTTTCTGCAGATGTCGCGTGTAAGTACTTGCAATGCAGTACTCATAGTATAGTAAAATAAAATAAAATTTTACAATCAATATTGAAATTGCTGTACTACGTACTTACTTCATAAGTATTATCTTTACAATTAGGGGATTCACAAGACGTGTTAACCGTCGTAAAATCTTAAGCTTAACACTTGTTTATGTAAAATAGCGGTTAAAATGGTTGGGGGGTTGGCTAATTATATATTCTTTATCAGCTTAAAAGAATTTCGGTTTAGTTAGAAATCCCCTAAAACCATTTTAATTAAAAAAGATGTTAACCTTAAGATTTTACGACGGTTAACACGTCTTGTGAATCCCCTAAATGAATGACAGTATTCAAGTGTGTGTGCATGCATGGTTGTATAAGTGAGTAAATTTTCATTGAATCTTTTGTGTACGTGGCTGAATATGCTCATCGGGCAGCTTGTTTACATGCTTTACATAAACCAATTTATACATATTAATGTACATAAAACATACACATATGCCCATGCAAATTAGGGTGGTCGAAAAAAAAGTTAAGTCCGCCCTGCAAAAAGTGGGACTAGGTTAAGTACTAGTACAGGACCACGCTACCTTGTAACCAATACTAGTAACCAAAATGGTCCAAATATATGGAGAAAATATGGTTACATTAACATTGCGATGCCATTGGACCTGACCACCTCTGGTCCAACGCTGCATAACATGTGACCACTTTTGGTCTACCACTGCATAACATGGGACCACCTAGACAACTACTCCTTTTGGACCATGGCACATTCGACAACCGAATCATATTGCCGATCGGCCACGAAGAGGTGGTGTTCAATACATATATCAGTTTTTTACGTTTGAAGTGGTCCAGGTCAGCATAACAAGTTACTAGTATGCAGCCTGGTCCTTTTGCTCATACTTTAAAACTACGACCCAGTGGACCACCTGGTCCTCAAATTTTTGCAGGGCGAATTCTATACCGAGAACAAACATATGTATATCCTTGTTTTTTTTTTTTTTTTGATTTTGAAACCATAAAATATTTAGAGGTCACTCAATGCGCTCAAAGTTTTCCATATAAATATTTTATACGGGAAAAGAAAATTTTTCTTAGAAATGGTGTAGAATTCTTGAAATTGGATCAAAAGCTCTGTTTCCCTTCAAATGACTTACAGTAATGATACCCAGTTATTTAGCCAATAGATACTAGCTACTTTTTATAGGTCTAAATAAAACAAAAAAATGCAATGAGAGAGCACTAAAATTCACACTTTACTTTTTCACATGCATATTTAGACCACCCTAATGTATATATTAGAGCGGAGGCTATCCGTATATGCGCAAGTCCGGATATCCCTTTTCCTTAATATCCGTTAATTTGGTTATTCGGTTATGCGGATCTTCTAAGCTCTATTTGAATGCTTTCCATAAATTGTTCTCAAAATAAGCGAATCTATTGAATCTTCATTATTGACATCCGGTTGATTTTCGTTCATTTCGTTAATTTTTAATTAGATATTCGAATATCCGGATTAGCCACCCAGCCCTAATACATGCGTAAAAGCATCAACAGACGGCATCGTTGATCCGCATCAACTCGGGAATTAAGTGCAGTTGATCCGGATTAAGTCCTGTTCGGTCAAATGAAAATGCGCATAGATTTTTTTTGTATGAGATATGAGCTTTTATATGCTACCAAAGAACGTAGATAGCAAGAAGGTACAACTCGTTATAATTGTAGCGAAAGTGAGTAACAGGGGCGTGCCTTCTCTTTTCATCCAATTAAAAAACGTACCAGAGCTTTACTTTATTTATACATCCATTGTAATAGAACAGGTGCAAAAGTTTTACACAGAACAATTAGTTTTCTAATTTTTCTACTGTTAAAATTTGATGTTTTTATTTTTCAAAAGAAAGCAAACACAAATTTGTGATTCAGTGTTATTAAGAAAAGACGAACGAAACTGCATATGTCAGCGCTCAATTGTTGAACTTAAATTTGCTCATACAATTTTAATTAAATAATGGGCAGTATGAATAAAAACTAAGAAATTGCTTTTGCTTGAAATTTCATACCTTTTACTTCAATTTTATTGAATAAATTGAGTAAAAGGTCTGAAATTTGAAGAAAAGGCAATTATTTATTTTTATTCATACGACCCAATGTCTTTGAAGGTTGCTTACATACAAAGAAACGGAAAATTAACGTATATGTATTCATATATCTGTGTTCGTATGGAAAAGTAGCTTAAGTCGAAAGGCTGGCTTTAGTATAAATCGGCATTCGCAGCATACGATTGCGAATGACTCACTGGCGCTGAGCTGTTGTAGAACTTTCGGCAAATAAACGTGCAAGAAGTAGTTCCGATACTAGCAAGTCAATATTCTTATTAAGTCTCATCAAAAAATTCCTTGCCGTTTAAAGAGTAAAAGGAATGCCGCATTATACTAAAGCCAGCCTTTCGACATAAGCTACTTTTCCATATGAACACAGATATATACATACATACATATATACAGTCTATACAATGACAGATGTAAGAGGCCACCTATGCATCTAGAACTATGCAAGTACATACGCTTGGGTATACATAAATCAATTTTCCAAGTTCTTTAATTCTTGCGTGCGTTGAAAGCTTTCAGCGAAATTAATCACTTTATTCAAAACAATTGCAGGACAATACACTTTATATCTGCAACTGACATGTTGAAGCTCAATGCAGCTTGATAATTCCATAAGCAATTATTATTTCGTAGCTGTTTAAAGATCAACAAAATATGAGCTTTCCACATGAGTTGTTTTCGTCTACAAAGAATAGCTTTTTATTTTAGAAAAAAAAATTATATTATATTACATATAAACAGGGCTGCCAATTTAGCTCTTTACCCGTCAAATCTGTCTTTTTCGAAGTCCATTAGCGGCAGGAAATGCGAAATTCACTATGAAGGAAATGTTCTACAACTAAGTGATACATACCGAGACTCAAATTTGAAAATAAATTTTTATCCAAATTAACAAAAAAAAAAACAATTATTTTTGCTATTAAAATATGAATATTATAGATCCAAAATGACAATTATTTTTGATTTTTTATTATATGTCTTGGATAATAGTTATTGAAGACTTTTATTTATAAAAGTCATCACTAAAAATCAGTCAGTGACTTTTACTTTTAAAAGTCATCAATATAAATCAGTCACCGACTTTTATTTTTTAAATCATTCGTATAAAAGTCACTAACATTTTTCGCATCTAAGGAGATGTTGGGAAACAAAAGTTTACTACGACCTATATATGTGACTCTTATAAGTATAATTTAAAAAATTTAAGTCACTGACTGAGTTTTATTGATGACTTTTATAAACAACAGTCAACAATTCAATAATTGTTATCTAAGACATATAATATAAAAATCAAAAATAACTGTTATTTGCAGATTATTTAGATAAATATTAAAAATAACTGTTATTTTGAATTTATAAAATAAAACTGAGAAGCAACTTTTATTTAATGAGTAATTAAATATAAGTAAAAAAATAATTGTTAAAGAACGATTTTTATAATAAAAGTTGTAACTGTTGCGGTCCCTGGTTGGAATCATGCAAACTTTTTCATCAGAGCTTTTACGAGGCTAAGATTGAAGAAGAAGCTCCCGGAGATTGATACTACCCGTATTCAAGTAACTTTTATTTACTCGTAGGTCCGTTCATATGTGTAACAACATCACCGCGTGCACCACAAATATGGTTTTATTTTCAGTTTCAAAATAACCTAGTGAAGGCGAAAACAAAGAAATGAGACATATAAACTTTATAAAAATTTTTTTCGCGGCCGACTTAGATACTACGTTAATACCTTCCAACCTCGAGACTTCCATCCTCACAGGATCCATACTTGAACCATCGAAATTGTATGGATCAGAGCTATCCACTGCCTCTAGACGCACTTTGACTCCTTGTCTCTGCAATCACTCCCTTTAGCCACATAAAATTTAAAACAGCTCTCCACATCCTCATGCATCCGCCTGGGCATCATACTCAGCAGCTCCATCTCTACAAACCTCTACTTTGCAATCAGCCAATAGATATGACTATTACTATTGTCTAGCAATGAACCAAGACGGTTAGTGCGTTCACCCCACGCTTCAAGTTACCTAACTCCGCATTGTATTGCGATAGAGCGTTACTTCATTCTATATTTCTCACCTTCTTCCACTATGTGCCTTTGGCAAGGCTTTCTAAAGGTCCCCTTTGTCTGACAATGAATCTACGATGTCGGTGTGATCGCGTTTAGCCTTTCCCTTGGGGACTCTATCGAGTTACTTACTGCTTTCCCCTTCCTCTCTCTCTCATTTAAATTTTTAAATTTGCAAGACTCCGTTCTAATACAACCGATGTGGACTCCCTGGCTGCATATCATGTAATAAATACGTTAATCGATGAATAGCGAGAATTAGGGGGCTGGTAGTTCTTGGTGGATGTTTGCCTGCGGCCCAAGGCTGGAAGGAAAGTAGTACTTATTGGCGATTTAGCTTAGCAACCGTAGAAACGAAAAGGTGCACGGGACACAAGTACGTAAGCCTTTTGTTTTCCTCTCCGACCATTTGCCAAGGAATACACCAATGTTATTGTTCATTTGAAAGCCGGGAACCTCACCAACATCCATACCTATGTACATATGTACATATTTACCTCAATCGATTTTCGACGTGAACAAAACAAAATACCCTTTCAGCAGCGATATGGTAGTGACAGTCCTTATTTATGATAATTGCAATTTTCGTATTCGCTTCTACCACCTACTTTATCATTCGCTTTTACGTTGCTGCTGTTGACACCGTTAAGCGCCTTAAATAAACACACAAGCACCAAAACCGAATACGAAAAATGTATAAGAGAGTTGCACACAAAAAGGTGCCGGCCGCGTGAAACACCAATAGCTGGCTGCACTACTGCAGGCAACTGCCGGCAAGTTGCAAGAAAAAGCCTCAATTTACCAACGCGAAATGATTTAAGCCGCAGCAGCCTGGGTATTTCGCATGCGCCTCTTAGTATTGCATAATTTTGGAAGTATGCTGCTTTCTTATTGCACGAGATGGACTTCACTTGTTGGCAATTCAGCTCTGAGGGCACTACATTCTGTTTTTGTGTTAAAGAACTCAGACAAATAAGTCAATGGGATTTGAGTTGAAAATATTCTAGGAATTTCGAGTAAATTTCGTCTGGAAGGAGTTGTCTGAAATAGCAGCCAGCTCAGTAGGGCTATGTATCTTTGTATGTGTGTGTGTGTGTGTGTGTGCCGTTGAAGGCTGCAAATGAGTTTACGTTTTTTTTTTGCTTCCATTGCCGGTGAGTGTGATTGTGAATGGTGTAGGAAGAAAAAGTTCGAGGGACTGTAGCGAATGTGTTGCATTTACAAAATTGAATTAATTGCCTCTATTTGGCTTACCAAACCGTAATGCAATTAAATAAATTGCAAATTCCAGCAAAACAAAGAATAAATGGATTGCAGCAATTTGGCGCGAAAAGGTTTTGTGTGCGGAAACTTCAGTTCGGAAAGTGAAACCCCTGTGGTGTTGGGATAATTATCGCAAAATTAAAATATGTACAATGCAGACCATGATACTAATATGAATGAAAACATTGTGGTGATGTTGCAAACGCATCCTTTATGCACGCGTACGAGCGCACAGTTGGAAAATTTAGTCCTGACAAGAAAACATTTGACAACATGTTAGTTCGTAGTACCAGAGTCCAGCGTCGAAACATCTTTAGAGCAGTTTGGACACGTTATGGTAGATTAAAGATACGCTTCGAACTTTCCTGAAGTCCGTTTCATCCGAAGGGCAAACATTCGTTCGGATCACTACCGCGTTGGGCGATGTAAGTTTTGCGTCGAGAAGCTGACGAAGATGCGCCCAGACCAATGCACATTTCTACACTGGACCGTTTATACCAGCTTTTGATAGCACAAAGGAAAGCTGCCTCTATGAGGGTCTAAATTTGAGATACCCGCAAAACTTACTATTTTTATGTCGTTGGTCTGGCGATGAATGAGGACAAGACAAAAAAATCTTCTGGCGACAAACAAAGAATCTTCGCATATTGAGTAGTGACTAGTGTATACACTGCTTGATACATAGTTATTAATTTGCAGGAGCGAAGCAATTTTCTCGTTTAGAATCCAGCATTGGCATCACCAATCACCAAGTCAATCTGTATATGAAGCGAAGGATAACTTTGCCTAACAGGCGCTACATTGGACTTGGTAGGCAACTGAAAAGAAGAGCTCTTTCACGTTCGATTTCTCATATATAAACCACAAGGACGAATAGAGATGAGAAGGCTTTGGTGGCTTTCGAGAAAACTATTATACGCAAGATCGATGGCCCTGTTTCGAACTCTATGCGCTTCATTTATATGACATGGAAAGTTGGAACGTCATACATTAGCTACACAAACAAACGCACATGTTGACAAATCCTAGCCGATCAATATTTCCAACAACCACTAAGCGGAAAATACATACATGTCTACTTATCCTTCAATCTTCTCCAACTGAAGCGTACTTAAGCGTTCAAAAGGAGAGTGGTGGCGACAATTTTACGTGAATTATGGACAGTTATGGTCATGCAAGGAACAATCTAAGCATACATACATAAATACATGTGTGTGGACATTTGTATGTACATACATAGCTTGCATTCAACCATAAAAATTGTTTTCCTTTACTTTAATGCGTCTTCAGTAGAGTGACATACCTAATAAATATCCTTGGCTGAGCAAAAAAAAAAATAAATAAAAATTATCCCCAAATAACAAATTTTATGTTTGTAAACATACATTTCTACATATATATTCATATAACAAACAGCCAAATGAAATATTATTTTATGTCCAAAATAGTGGAAAGTAGATTACAGCTCTAAGGCGACGGCGAAACGGTCATAGGCCTGTGAAAAATGTCACTTGTTGCTTAAGAAAAGATGAGAAAAACAAACTAGATCTCGTACTTTAGTATACTTACATGTATTTCCTGTATTTTTGGCGAATTTCGTACATGCATTAAGTACTCGTATATTTAAAAACGGCCGTCAGGAAATTGAATGGAGCTTGTAGCCTCAACAGCCAAGAAGGCCAGTACAGCTGAGAATTCGTAATCTACAAGTATTTATGTACTTACATACATATAGGTAAAAGTATGAAATCAGACTTTTGCGCTTGGGTAAAGAATTTCATTGTCATTGCTTGCCTGGGCGCGACTGCTATTTATTTATTAGAAAAAACTTTTTATTCTTTTTTATTTTGTGATGTTCGTCGGAAACTGGGTTTGATCCCAGGCTCTGCGGAATGCTAGCGCGTATTGCTAACCACTACACCACAGCGGCCGTCATTCAATTTATGTAATATCTAATTCACTACAGTTCTAGATATGTGGCTACCCTACTCATAAGTTTTTAATTTTACTTAGAGCGGTGATGCTGGCCTTCAAAATGTTGTTTCACTCATTAAATTTTATGGATTATATTATAGAAGATATGCAACTGGATTGGCCACATACAGTAATTCCAGCTTTTTTAAAACATTTTTTTTTCAGAACTAACTGAATTTGAATAACGTTACTTTTCTTTGCACGTGCGTAGGCTTGCTCCCTTCAAGAAGAGGTCTCAATCATTGAGTATGATAAAATATTATAAATTTTATAAAAAATTAAAATCCAAAGTAATGAGGTTGTTCACATCTGCCTTGTTATCTGGTTAAAAATTATTATTGTGTAGAGTATTTTATTGTTGTAAACTGAGTAAAAAATATAACCACATAACCTGATAACCAGGCAAGCGTGAACTACCTCAATGATTAATTATGTTCGAACAAATAAAAAACTTAAAAAAAATTTACTGTATAGCAAATAGGTTAAATTATCAGTAGCAAACCAATTCAAACTCCTTAACTTTTCTTACAGGGCGTATATAGTTACTCAGATACTTAAAAATAACTGGCGTTGGAAGCATTCATATATTTTCATAAATTTATCGAATAACCTTTTGTACTTTTTTAGCAACATAATAAATATGAATTTATTTATGTTCGGGTTATTATTAAAATCGAATAAGCATAAATTAACAGCTTAGAAGTGATGAGAACTCAAAGGAAAATGGCTAGGGTTGTAAGTCATTATACAGAAATATTTACTTATTCATATGTATTAGAGGTTTACGCCGCCGCGGCGTTCGGCGCCTTGGGAATTTTGTACAACATTTGCATGACGTATGCACACTGAATTGCATCGTTTGAAGGAACGTATAAATAGTGCTATTTTGCAAAATAAAATTTAATATTCAAATTACATTTTTAATTTTGACTATGAACTTATTTATTTTTCCAAATAAAATATAACTTATTAAAAAAAAACAGAAAAAAGTTGTTCGTTCGAAAGCGTTTATTAAAGTTAATTTAGGGTCGAAGACTGGTAATCGGGCGATTTTTATGCGTAGTAAACAATTTTTTGCAATACCACAATAACAAAAAAGTGATTACACATCAAAAACTTTAAACGTGAATATCTTAGAAAGCAATTTTAACATTAGCGCCTTTATTGCATCTAACTCCTCAGTTATTGGAGATAAATCTAAATAAAAGTTTATTTTCTTTTGTTTTATTTTTTTAGCCCAAAATACAATAATGCAGTGGCAGTGGCAGCGACAGTTTTTCGAAATCAGCTGGTTTTTTAGAAAGTGTGGTGTCCAATTAAACGCCTCACAATACAGCAGGCAGCTAGCAGTACTGCTCAGTTTAGCCCAAATTCTAAATTCACTGGCACTGCCTTCATCGCAGCAAACTTCACGTGTTGAATTTGACATAAATGCAACGCAGATAATTTCTGTTTATGTCACTGAAGCCTAATTTTGAAATCTGAAAATCTCAGAAACCTACTGGAAATGCAACTCAACCTTGACAATGCTTAAAACGTTCACTATCAACGTTTTAATTTTAGTAATTTTTTTTTAATTTGATCGCCATATTGGAATTTGGATCGCCATTTTGAATTTAATAAAATTGACTTCAGGTTCGTAATCGGCGACCCCAAATACTCTCGAGTGCCTGGTTTCGAACAAATCCAACCATTAAAAAAAAAAAAATTGATCTCCATTTTGGATCCGCCATTTTGAATTTTGAAAAGCTTACTTCAGATTCCTAATAAGTAACCCCAGAAAGCCCCTGCTAACAAGTTACAACCCATGACAATGCGTAAATCGTTCAGTATCAATATTTTAATTTTACTAGTCTCTTTTCGAGAGCATTTTTTCGGGCACTAGTCCCATTCTAACTGCCCAAGACAGGTTTGTAATTAAGGGAATGTCTCCCAATAATACCAGAGTCATTATATGTAAAAACTACATTTTTAGTTGCACTTTAACATGTCAAGAAAATTAAAAAGAAATGAACATCATCGTTTTTATTAAAATATTCTGATGTAGCGTTTATGAATTTCCAAAAAGAGTGTTTTTATGAACTACTCTAAAATATATACATTGGTAATCGCTGCACCAATTTCTTCCAAACTTGACACAGTTGTTGGCCTTGGTACAACAATAACCCATATCCCATATAACGGTAATTTATATTAAAGCTAATTTATTCAAAAACGATGTTTGCAACAATTCTTTACCAAGAAATATCCACGATGCAAATTTACATTGTTAGATCTAATTTCCACATTTAATTTTTTTATGAGCTTTGGGAATATTTAGAAATTTATCAGCAGGGGGTCCACCGAAACTAGTCAATTTTTGAAAGGGGTCTACGAGTAAAGAAGTTTGGGAACCTCTGATCAAGATAGTACCAGGAAAAACAAACAAAATGCACACCTTCTCTTTGAATCACCTTTCGAACAAAAGAACAATCATTCAAATCGGTTTAGAAACATAGGAACACTAGGCAGGAATAGATTTGTATGGAATTTCGTTAGCGTATTAATATGTATATAGGTTCTATTCTGAATTGGTATGGCGAATGCCTAACGCTGCTGAGATGACATGACAAGATTAGTAGCCTCATGGCTCTTTACATACTGTCTTATATTCCGTTGCGCCGCCGCACAGTGGTTCCAAATCGACGAAAAGCGGAAAAAATTCAATATCTTGCAAATGGATAGTCCGATTAAGCTGAAAATTGGTACACTGAAAATTCATAAAATGTCTAAGCTAAAACTAGAAAATTTTTTATTTTTTTTTTTGATAACACAATTGATTTCATCAAGATTTTGAACTAATACGGACATTTGAAGACCTCAAACGGTACTATCCATACCTAATATAAAAATCATTAAAGATTTTAAATATTGTTCATCCAGCTAAGGAACTTATTAATCAAACTTTTATAAAAAATATTCAGAAAAACCTGCTGCCAGCAATAGTACAACTTTGGCGATTTTTCCTGCGCAGCACATATCATATAAATAAATGAATTTTATTTTTTCAGAAACCTCATTCAATTAGCTATTCAGAAAAAAAATTTTTAAAATATTTTTGTTAATTTTCATCATTTGGAATTTTTTCCGCCCAGAAACCACTGTGCGCCGCTGCAAAGCTTGTCAGCGTAAACCTCTAATATGTAACGAAATAGCTTACCAATTAAGTTAGAGCTTTTAGCGTGGTAGGAGTCTTGAAGGATCTTCCTTTCCTGTAAAAAAAAAATAAACTCCGAAACAATATTTTAGGAAGTTTAGACTGACATTTAATTGAGCCAATTACTTTTTAATTGAGATACCACTTTTTCGTGTTCGATTAGAAATGTGCCACAGATGTGGGAAGTTAGTTAAAACCTACCTCTCATTAATTTGAAAGTCAATTTCTACAAGCGCACCATTTTATGTACATTTGGAATGTAGCCAAACAACATTTCAGGAAATTATTTTTACTTTCTTCCTTTTTATTAACATTTCAATGTAATTACTTGATTAAGTGCATGCCTCAACTTAGTATAAGGCGCTAAGTAATATGTAAATTATCCTTTGAATATGTTGGGGTGAAAAATTATACTCACTTTTTAATTCAGTTTGTATTACCCAGAAAAGGTCCTGCTATTGCCAATCTATAGTAAGCTTCACTATTTATTTGAGCATTTGCTGCACAGTTGTAGACGATCAAATTTTAAGTAGCGGTATCACCTACCCGTGTTCGCAGCGTTAGGGTTAAATAAAACTGAAGAAATATTTATATCAATTAGTTAGATATTTCATTATTTATGATCAATAGCTATAAACCTTATACATAATTTGCCTAGTCGAAAAATCATTATTTTTCTATCTATATTACAGTTTCATGCAGTACAGTCACCGTGACAAAATGTCAAGCCGCCTTAAGGACACTACAAGCCTTTCAATTCTTTCGTCCAACCTGCCTTTGTAAAGAGCCTGGAATGGATCCGGATTGTAATCATTTCCGGGATTTTCTTTTCGATCATCCATGCGGATTTGTGCTTAAAAAAGGTGAGTGAAATTGCAGATTACATATATATATTTTTTAATTTTTCGTTGCTCTTGATGAGGGCTGATAAAAAGTTACATACTTATAAGGAAGAACTTTTGTTTTAGAGGATATCGCTGCTGCATAATCGCTAAAAACATCAAAAACGACATCTATAAATTCCATATACACCGTCTACAGCTTGAGAATCCTCCAACAAACTTAGCGGTTCTAGGCTGTGGACGATGTTGGCTTCGTTGGGCCCCACGTTTTACGAGAGCGTCAGTTCGTTCGTTGTTATCAAAAACCTGAAGTCATGGTTCAATAGAGTTTGCAGTTGTGCATCAGCCTTGAGTAGAAATGATAATTAAAATTTACTACAAAAATATTATTGGAAGTAACTACAAGATATTAATCGATTAAGCAGCATATTCGACTATTTTTGTTTTTAATTTTTTTGGTTCTTTATAAGTCAGGATTTTCGAGACTACTTAAGGATTCCCAGGACTATTTCGTGATTTTCGGGAATATTTCAGAATTTTTATTAAATTAATATCAATGTATTTATCGATAAATTTATCGATTCTGCAATCGTTATATCAATCGGTATTATTTTCGATATAATATTCTACATTTTTAATGATATATTTTTCGATATAAATATTTGTTGACATATTTAGCGATATTGCTATCGATATAGAAACCGATATATTTATTAACTTGAAAAACACGGAAATAGTCTCTAAATTCCACAACATCTCGAAGCAGTCTCGAAAATGTAGATAAAGTTCTAGGAAACCCAAAATTTCTAGAAACCTCGAAGTAGTCCCCAAAATTCCGAAAAGTCCCATAAATTCTATAAATACCAAAGTTGTGTCGAAAATATCAAAATAGTCCCGAGAATCCAGAAATAGTACCTACTTTAAAACTCTAAAAATATCGAAATAGTCGCAAAAATGCCGAAGGAGCCCCAAAAATACCACGATAGTTGCAAAAATCTCGATATAGTTTCGAAAATCCTAAACATCCAGAAGCAATCTCGAAAACCCAGAAATAGTCCCGAAAATCTTGAAATAGGATCGAAAATACCAAAATTCTGTATTTTGTATTTAATCAAGTCATAAGTACAAAGTTGTTTTGTATCCATGTATTTAGTAAAGACAAAGTATCAAGTTCACAATTTTGTTCATAAATGACAAAAACGTCAGCTTATGAGATATGCTTCAGTCTTGGACAAGCTCTACAACAACTGGTGCCAAACTTACTAATTGTCTACTGCGTCCTGGGCCTTATAGTATAGTTCGGAGTTCCACCATGCTTATGATCCATGGCAGTTATGCACTATATTAGTTTCTAGTAGTTATTATGCCAGTTTCTTTACATAAGTAGATGTACATACTTATGCATATTTCGTTCAAATGGAGCGCCTTCTATGCAAATACATACCATAGTGTAAACCTTCCCCATTGCCTCTTGTTCTCGCCGTGCTAGAAATTATACATTTATCCTTTTAATAAATATCCGATTAATTTAAATGAAGATGCTTAAATGCAATTAATTCGACGGCTCATTACCTTCGCCCTAACGCGCACGCTTACAATCATACAATCACACTCCATCGCATATACATAGGTACATATACACACAAACAAGTACGCACTCACACGCCACCAGTGTGCTTGAGTAGCCGAGCAGGGTGTAATAAATTTCGCAAGCAACTCCTTGCTGCCATCTCCTAACAACTAACAACAATACCCGACAGGAAGGCTAAGGAGCAACAACAACACAACAATGATGCATTAAAGGTGGCATCAAAACCATATTGCGGCTTAAGAGGACATTTGTACGCGTATGTGTATCTGCGAAAGTTGCGAAGATTTATTGTTATTACAAAATTAAGTAGCGCACTTCAATCATGCGGTGAATTACGCAGCAACAAATTGTAATTTATAAAGTGGAAACTCCTGAGGATTCGCCACTTTGCCGCAATGAGCTGCAACTAGACACTTAAGCGAAGCTGGAAGAATAAGATTGGCAGCACCGCCACACATGCACTACACACATACTTACACTGTACATAATCACACCATGCAGAAAATCTGACTAGCTTAAAACTAGCGTAGAACTAGACCTTTTGCCGACAATACTAGTTCTAGCTCAATACCCAAGCGATGCTTTCAACTGTCCAGTTTTGCACGGCGATGCTATTGCCGGTGGAAATTTTCGCCCAGTGCAATTACTATGCAATTAGTTTTTAGCCGGTTCCGTTTTGGACATTTGAAATTGGCAAATTCAACGGAAATCGCATACTGAAATGGAGCAACAGAAATTTTTGGGACGGAAACAAGTGCTTCTTGAATGTATGTTTTTAATTAAACAAAAACTTGCTAATAAAAGGCTACAGGGTAACATTTACAAAAAGACCAAGCAATAATGAAAGTAAAGGTGACTACGTACAGATATAAAGAAAAGAATAAAGGCAAATGTAAAAATAAAACAAAAACAAAGATGCTTAAAGATAAAGGCAAAAAGGACGCCTAAAGTAAATATAAACACTTTACTTATATATGGGCAAAGGTGAAGGGGAATATGTAGATGAAGAAAATGAGAAACATGTAATGAAAAAGATGAGGATGCGGATACTGATAAAAGTAAAGATGAAGATATAGGAAGAAAGATTAAAATAGATTTAATTATGGAGAAAATGATATACTAGATGGAGACACAGACTCAATCTGGTAACTATTTTGGGATTTTAGAAACTTTCGTAATTCTCGGGACTTATCGATCTCATAATCGATATTTTTATCGGTTTTGTTATCGATTTTGCTATCGGATATTTATCGATTTTATTATTGATTATCTATCGAATTTGTTATCGATTTCCTAATCGACTTCGATATCCATTTTCTAATCGTCTTTTCTACAAGTATTATTATCGATTTTGTTATCGAAACCTTTGTCGAATTTGTCATCGACTTTGTTATCGATATTTTACCTATTTTTTGTCGACTATTTATCGATTTTGTTATCGATTATTTATCGATTTTGTTATCGATATTTTATAGATTTTGTTATCGATTATTTATCGATTATTTTTATCGATTTTGTTAACAATTATTGATAGATTTTGTTACCGATTTTGTTACCGATATTTTTATCGATACTTTTTTCGATTTTCTAATTGACTTTTCTACCAATATTATTATCGATTTTGCTATCGAAATATTTATCGAATTTGTCATCGATTTTGTCATTGATATTTTTATCGGTTTTGGTATCGATATTTTGTTGCGTGTTACTATCGATTTTGTTATCGATAGAGTATAAAGATACAAATTAAGGTAAAGGGAAGCGAACAGGAGTAGAGGTAGGGGTCTAGATAGAAAAAAGACCAAAAATATAACCTTAAGCAAAAGCAGATGTATGTATGTATGCATATGTATGTATATTGGTTATGAGACAAAATAGATATGTAACATAAGTGTCACTTCTCCAGTGTGGACTAGGCGCACTTACCTTTTTTATAAGAAACCGTTTTTAAGATTAGATTTTCGGATATTTTTTTCGCTTTTTCTTTTCTGTTACAGATTCCATTTTCGTTGCATATTTTGTTAAAAAAACAAATATTATTGTATGCTGCACGCAACAATTTAAATTCATTAAATTTGAAAACTCACAGCTGCCTCCACCGCGATTTGAACTCGCGACAAACGATGCTTGAGTCGCATACACCGCAAGTTTCACGGCTCTGTAGCCGTTTTGCACTAGTTCAGAGATAGTTCTGAAATATTTAGTTCGGATCTAGCGCTTTGCCAGACTATCTCTAATTCTTTCTGCAGGATAAACACGCACACACACACACACACACATGCACCAATATACAGTTTTGTGCGTCAAGTGTGAGGAAGCCACGGAAATTGAGTAAAGTGCACCTGAAGATAATTCAGCTTTCTTCAATATTTTTTTTTTTACTTCAAGCGCAATATGTCTGTTGCATATTTACCGGCGCATATTTTAACGTCTGTATGCGTGTGTGTGTGTGCGCGCGCTCGGCGAAATAAAGTTGGGTTTAAAATTGCAATAATGCTTGATATATAAGACAGACAAATCACTTTTGTCTCGCGCACATCTATGTTAATATCTACATACGTACGCATGAGGGTAGTCAATAAATGTGTGCGTGTGTGTGTGGGTGAGTGCGCCCCTAGCACCTGCAACGTGACAATGCGCCCATTTATAGTGTCTTTCGTGATTGCAGCAAAATCAGTTGAATAAAGTAGCACCCGTGCAATGTCACTTTGTGAAGAATTCCTCAACGTTTTTGCTATTCTCTCTTGAGCATCCTATAGGCTACCAGATACTCAACAGCCACACATATGCGCAAGGATAGTGTTGTTAGTAATGGCAACGGCAACGGCATCATGTCCTGAGGTAACCAGCTATATACATATGTATGTAGCTTGTGGCAACTACATAAGAAAATGCATATGAATGTATGTGTAGAATATTAGGCATATGGATTTTTCAACCGACTTCGACTGAATATTTTTGAAGTGAATCTTCTTTGCGCTCGGTTGGGTGTAAATGCAAACATCGATGTAGCAAAAAAGGGACAAAATCATTGGGCTCAAATTCCAAACTCCAATGAAACGAAATGGCTATCGAAGAAAGGAAGCGATGGCGATTAAAATGGAGATTAAAATGAATATGTTTTAAGATTGCGGTCGAGATTGAGATTGAGATTATGATTAAAATTAAGATTAAGATTATGATTAAGACTATCATTAGGATTTAGACTAGAATAAGATTCAGGTTAAGATTAAAAGATATATTATGTTTAAGATTAGGATTATGATTAAGATTAAGATTAAATCTAAGATTAAGATTGGGATTAAGATTAAGAATCAGTTTAAGAATAAAACTAGGATGAAGATTAAGACTAGGATTAAGATTCGGATCATGATTAAGATTAAGATTGAGATTAAAGTTAATACTAAGATTTAGATTAAGATTAAGTTTG